ACAGTGAGACCCTGTCTCAAAACAGAAGGAAACAAATAAATTAGATGCACCTAAGGACAATTGACTTTGATACCACAGGGTTAGTACTTATTTTCAGTCATAAGTTTGATATGCATGTTTGTTTATGTAACACAACATTTAATAAATAAGGCAAATTGAAAATATTGGACATTTAAAATTCATGTGTATGTGTGTCATGTACACACACACACACACACAATGATGTGTGTGGAGGCTAGAGGACAACTTGCAGCATATGGATCTTTGCTTCCATCATGTGGGTCCCAAGAATCAAACTCAAGTGAAGTGGTCAGGCTGAGAGCTTACCTTCATTAGTAGAGCTACCTCACTGGCCTCATCAAATATAAAATATTTTTGTAACTTTTGAAAGAGAAGATAATCTCCCAAGGGTTAAAAAAAAAATGAAACCTTTCCAGAGACATTTAGTACATAGTATGTGGCAGTCCTGATACAAAGACCAGATCAATGAAAATGCTGAATCAATGTGAAATAAATGGATTTATAGTTTCTTTATGCCTCAAGGACACAATTAGCCTAGTTTGCAGAACCCTCAAAGCCGGTGAAATAAGAACCTCCACTTAATGACTTTGTGTTTTGAACATAGATTGACAACCCAAGTGAGGTTATTGAAGGCTTTCTGATCTTCTGGTGCCCCCTCCTGGTCGTGTGAAGCATCAACAAGGAGCTATTTTTCCCAGATGAACTGTGAGGAACAGCCCGCAAACTTCGATAGCCCTCCAGGCAACCCTTCTCCCTCCCGATCTGGATACCTACATGGAATTCTCAACATGGAAGCTGAGAAATGTTGAGAATATAAAAACAAGAGTTACAAATGCTTCTAGTTCATGTTTCTTTAACTATTATGATACAGGCATAAAATAGGTTCACTAAAATTAAGCCCCGTGGCACCACTTTCTTCTAATTATGGTTTCATATACTTTCAATATCTGAAAAAATTCTAGGTATTAAGTTAATATTGAGAAGATCAATGCATGCAAGCAGAGTGAACGTAACCTTCTCTACACACTCAGCACGTATGACCGTGCGGAAGGCTTACATCAACAAACTGGAAGAAAGGACTTGGTGTTTTGTTTTTGAAATTTGCTCTTACACATGATGTGGTGGCATTTAACCATGGGTTTTGTCGGATACGGTGGCATATGCCCAGATCCCATCACCTGCGAAGCTGAAGCAAGAGGTTTTTCATGAGTTTTATGACTGCAAGGGCTACAGCAATAGACGAAACAAAACATCTTTAACATACACGGTCATATATTAAAAATTTTTTGATTTTGTGTTATATGAAAACTATCCATGGCTTTTTTTATTATATTGGTTACTAATACATAAATAAAACAGTGTCCTTTTGCTCACAAACCATGGTTGCACTGACAACAAAAGAACTTAGTTTTAAAAAGAAAGATTTTTTTTCTTCTGTTTTTCAAGACAGGGTTCCTCTCTGAGTAGTCCCATCTGATGAGTTGAAGCCTGTAACAGGAATAGATGCTGAAGGAAGACATGTTTTGTCCTCAGACTGTTCATCTTGAGCCACAGCATAATTCCTTTCACTTTGGGGAAAGTTGGCATCTTAGTGACAAGTGGTCCACAATGTGAGTCCTTCTTCATTGATTTTGACTTCACCTTATTTGTATGTGCAATACTTGGTGTTTACCATGCAGATTTTGTGCATGCATTGCTAATCATGCCCCTAAATGTTTAGTTTTTGTTCCAGTTTAAAGTGTGTTATATATTTTGCTCTCCAGTTGTCTGTTGCTAGAAAGTAGAAATGTAGTCAACTCTGTTGAGATCACAGGAGTTGGGAAAACTGTTCACTTGTCTGTGTTAACTGACTTCTTAGGTTTCTTAGGCTTTTCTACATGGGCGTTCATGACTCCTGACCTGAGGCCACTTTATTCACAACTAAAGTTGTTTTGTTTCTTTCTCTCATCTGATTAGAGACAGCTCTCAAAATAAATGCTGGCTACAAGACCAAAATTTTTGGAGAAAAGCACTCATTTTCTACCATTAACTATGTTGGTGTAGAGTTTTGTTGATGATGTTTGGCAGTTTCCCTGTATTCTGAGTTTTTTTTTTTAACCTCTCCTGATATTAAACATTACTGAAATTTTCAGAGTACCACATAAACTATTTTCTGTTTTTAATTTCATTTGTTTTTACTTCACCTCCAGCCCTGTTGTCTTTTGCATTGGATTTAGTTTTTCCCACTTATTTTAGACACCTAGATCCATCTAAGGTCTTTATTCCTCTCTGACATCAGTGACCCAATGCTTCCTTTGCTCTGTGCTAACCTTATCCTTCAGGGTGATGTTTTGCATTGATTCAACTAAAAATACTTTGTGATTCTTCCACTCTTAAGCATTGTGTTTGAGAGTAGTTTCACATTCTGCCTAGGTGTGGTTCTTCTAGGTATAATATACAATACTGGTCCCTTCCTATCTCTGTTTCACTCTGGACAAGAGTAGTATTTTAAGGATTTGAAATTGTTTGAAATTTTTCTTTTGTAACCCAAATATGGTTGACTTGAATTTTTGTATGACCCTGAAAAAGTTAAGCTCTGCTATTGTTGGGTAGAGCATTCTTTATCAAAGTTGGTTGATAATGTTATTCAATCTTCTTTTTCTATAAATATATTAGTTACTGAGAGAAGAGATCAAGTTCCCAGTTATGACTGTGTGTCTATCTTTCCTTTCAGTTCAGTTTTTGTTTCATGTATTTATTTAAACTTTTAACAATTTTTATGTGTGGGGGTGTTTTGCCTGCATTCATGTCTGTGGGGCATGCGCATGCTTGGTACCAGAGAAAACCAGAAGAGGGCACTAGATCCGCTGGAACTGAAGTTACTGGCTGAGCAACTATATGGTTGCTGGAGGAAAAGCCACTCCTAATCGCTGAGCTCTCTCTCCAGTTGTTTCATATATTCTTATTTCTAATTTTTGTGCATTCATATGCATGTTTTCATGTGTGTGTAGTGCAGAGCATGTGGGTGAGGACATGTGGAAGCCAGAATTGATGTCAGTTTTCTTTCTAGATTGGACATATTCCATTCAAACTCCCTTGTTGAACCCAGAGTTTGCTAATTAAGCTACATAACTGCTCAACTTTCTCTGGTGACTCCTCTATCTCCACCTTCTGATCACTGGAATTGTAGGTCAGCTACCATGCCTTCCAGGCTTTTGTGGAGGTTCTGGGGATCTGAACTCAGGTTGCCACTCATGTAGCAAAAACTTCATCCACTGAGCCTTGTCGTAGTCTGTTTCATGTATTTAAAATCTCTTATTAGACTATAAAATCCTAATAATGTTCTGTTAACTAATTTCTCTGTTTGTCATTTTATCTCTTTATGCACACTAATATTCAGTAAATCAGCTGAAATCTGCTTGCTATCTATTACTGTAGACATTCAAGTTTTATTTTATGTCAGTTTTCATGCATGAATTTTAGGGACAAGTATTATATGTAAGCATTTATGAATACACTAATATATATATAAATACATAGGTATTAATGTATAGCATATGGGTATACACACATTTACATATACACATTATTTAGGGCACACATAAAAACACATGGTTTTGAATACATGAGGACAGAGTCCTGTATTAGTAGAACTCCTCTCCACATCTCTAGGGGTGGTTATATTTGTAAAAACTGTAAAAATTAAAGCTTATATATTAAACACTAAATTATAGAAGATATGAAATTCTACATTGAACTCTCCCAAAGCATTGCACATATTTTCAAAAGAAACAAAATTAAAACCAATTCTATGACCCTAGTGTTGTGGGAGGCCCTTCTATGTGTTGCTTTTATTGGTTAATGAATAAAGAACTGCTTTGAGCCCATGGAAGGGAAGAACAGAAATAGGTGAAGAAAGCTAGGCTGTATGCTGGAAGAAAGAAGGAAGGAGTCAGAGAGAAGCCACGGAGCAGCTGGAGACAGAGTTAGGAGCTTTAGCTGGTAAGCCATGGCCATGTGGTGATACACAGATTACTAGAAATGGGATAAATTAAGATGTAAGAGCTAGCCAATAAGAGAGCTAGAGCTAATGGGTCAAGCAGTGATTTAAATAATACAGTTTCTGTGTGGTTATATTGGGGCTAAGTGGATCAGAACCAACAAGTGGCCTCCCTGTTACATCCTAGGATACTCCCTCAAACTTCTGAAATAGAAATAAGAGTCATGAGAATTTACATAGTGGGTCTACAGAGCTAGTGCCAGGACAGGCTCCAAAGCCACAGAGAAACCCTGTCTCGAAAAACCAAAAAAAAAAAAAAAACAATAAATCATATGACATTTTGCTGTGCAGCAAACTCTAATTAGAAAAAGAAAGAAAAATGTTGGTTGTTGATAAGATAATGTACCAAGGGCTACAATGCTGTTGGAATGACCATCACTGAGTTGGAACTATAGTGAACTTGAGAGTGACAGGGAGAGACATGCTGAGCATGAGAGAATATCATTCTGGCACGAGAGTGTCAAGATGCTAAACATTATATATTATATATGCTAAGCATATATAAGGTTACCCTGTATAAAGGGTAGGAAACAAATTATATCTGAAGGAGAGGGAGAATGTAGTGAAAGATGGCTGCAGACAACAGGCCAATTATGATTTTGCCATTCTAAGGTCTCTGGTTAGCACTTCGAGGAAAATGGTAATATGGAAAATAATTCAGTGTTGTGTGATCCAATATGTATGTGAGTTCTGCTCTGAATACCATCACTGGAGTAAGTTTCGGAGTGGATGAAAGTCACCCACCTGTCCTCCTGAGGGTCCCAACACTCCTTTTGGTGGTCTTCCTGGTTTCATGTCACATGCATCAATTACCTTCTCCCCTTCTTCAGAGCTCTTCACCCCACCCATAGTCCCTTTTTGGGTTCATGCCCTGTACATCTCCACACCTGCATGTCCATATAACACAAACCCTAGGATCAGATATGAGAAAAGACCTGTGGTAGTTGAAGAGATTTTTAATGATGACCAGTGTTAACCTCTTCTCCCTCTTTCCTTCAAGACCATTTCAATATTATCCAGAATCTGAGTGAAACGGCTTTGGGGAATCCATGCTAATCTCTACGGATCCTTCGAGGTCACCAAGGTTCTCCCTTCGTGTTTCTCTCTACTTATGACTGCTCATGTTCAGCTCACAGTGACTCATGACAAAACTTGCCTCCTTTCGCTCTTTCCGAACGATGGCAACAACAAATCCAGGTTATCGTTAGTCCTTCAGCTTAGCAGTATGACTGAGTGTCTAGAGACCTGTTGAGAGGTGTTTGGTCTCCAGTGACAACTCAAGGCTCCGGATCAGAATAGTTTCCCATTATGCCTTCGTTCACAGTTCCACATGAACCTTGTATTGAGGACAAATGAAACACTTCCCAGCTCATCTCGTCTCACAGCTCCTTTCTCCTTTATTCAGATTTCAACCAATTTCAGACAAACAAAGGATCTTTCTTTCTCTTTTCCTCTGCTCTCCCGAGTGATCCACCACAATGAATAAATTCCAAGCAAGGCCCTTCGTTCCCATAGCCTCAAACCTGCCAATTTCGATGACTCAGCAAGTACCATCTCAATCTTAGCCTTCTCTCTAGGCTTCTTAATAACTATTTCGTTGAAGATAAAATTTATATGCATGTTCTTCAGTCAAATTAGATTTCAAAGCAATGTTGATGTGAAGGAAAACACATCACCATGGGTTTAACATGTACAATATAAGACATTGTTACTCTTTTTTTTTTTTTTTTTTTTTTGGACTGAAGAAACCTTCAAGGACACTGGCCTACTTTCATACAGATATAGTCTCTCAGGTCATCACAGGTGGTACTGTCTATGCCCCGTTTGTGCAGGAAGGCACACTCTCCGTAATCATGAATTTCCTTCCTGGAACGAAACAAAGGGTTGGCATCTTTATTTATCAGACTCAGCACAGCCTCATATAATGAATCTAAACTTCAGTGATCACAGTTCAAATGTACTCTGTGAAGAGGATACTACGTCAGCTCTTATTGTCCATCATACTTAACCTCTGGACTCTGCTGGGGAGGTACTATGTGAGTCCACCCCTCAGCAGCACAGCCAGACACTCCATGCTGCCAACAAGGAAAAAACTATCATAATTTTTCAGAGAGGGGTCAGATTGTTCCGTTTATGTTGGTGATGAAAATGACTAAAGGAACAAATTAGGCATTTAGAGATGGTGTCGAGAAGAGTGTAACTCGCATTTCGGGGAATATTTTTCATTTACTGTTATGGGAATCCCATAAGTGGAATGCCTACTCCTCGGGGGTGCAGACGGTAACTGCATTTAAATATAAATCTTTAAAAGGACTGATTAAATAAGATAAGATCTTTTTAAAATTAATGTTTTTGAAATTAGATTCTAGGCACATCACCATCCTCGGCTCAAAATAATGTCTTTTGGGTAAACACTAATCCTATAATCTGAGTGTTTTTCTTTTTCTTTTGCCATGTTGAGAGCAAACCCAGGGGCCCTTTGAATTGCTAGGTAAGCTGTCTACCACTGAACTACACTCCCCTACCCCTTGTGCCGCTGATGCTCTTTGAAGTAGAAATGATTCAAGCCCTTCCTTGAGTGTGTGCACAGGCTGAGGCACTGGAAGTCAGAATGAAATGTCAGGCACCTACACACCAAGGCAAGAGGTCAAAAGAAACAGACCCTGACAACACCTTGACTGTGGACTTCCAGAATCCAGATCAGTTGCTTTAGCTGCTCAGTCTGTGTCATTTATTGTGGTGACCCCAGCAAAGTAACACACCAACTTTAACCAGCTCATACCTTTCCCTCAAATTTCTTTTAAATAGGAATGCATAACATCTTAAACTGTCATTTTTTTTTTCAAGAAAACACCACAGGAATTGTGTTTTGTGCTCAAAGTTAACTTGCATCATAGATTTCTTACATTGGTTTTCAAGTGAAAAACCACAATTATTGGTTATATTGTTGCTTTCAAGTCACTGTGTGTTTTCAACCTATTATAAATAGAATGACCATGGAAACTTCTCCTAGTTGGGGAAACTTTTTTGGTGAGGTACAAAATATTAATACTGCAGAGTGAGCACCATGAAAAAGACATGCAGTGCGTGAAACTTTGCGGAGCCTCTGTGAAAAACAGAATTATTCCACTCTGAAGTTAAGGAAAATTTAAATGTTTCCAGAAAAAAATAGAATCTAAGGATACAATTAATTCTTTACACTTGGGACAGCAGAGAAGTTTTGGAATTTTCAATAAAAGGAAATTCAACATCTCTCTTCCCAATCTCTTCTCATCCATATTGTTAGGCCCCTGGTGGGTAAGGACAATGTAGCCATCATTACATCTTCAGATACTCACTCTTTACCAATGAGAAGTGAAAGACACACACACACACACACACTCAAGTATACACAGACACATAAGCGTAAACTGTACTCAGGAAAGACTTAAACTGCCTAGACTTTTCAAGTCTAGAATGAAAGGAAGATAGGTACAATCCAATTAAACACACAGAAATACACAGTGGCGTTAGAGGGCAGATGCTCCCAAAAGACTACCAGTTTGCATGAAGGTTCTCCTCAGCATCTGCTGAAGGCCCTGGTTAGGAAATGTAGTAAAAGAAACAGTAGATGTAGCTGTCTATAGAGTTAGAATTTTGACCATGATTTATAATTAACACTAAGTCAATTTCACAAAGACTTACAAATCATTGTATTTTGTTCCATCTGTCCAAAGCCAGAGTTTGTCCAAATTTTGTTTGTTCAGTCCAATCCAATATGAAGATCCTTCATTCACAAGGCTCATCAAAGCTTCCTGTGATAAAGAAGAACACTATCAGGAGCATCATCTAGAAGTCTTACTCTCAGTATGTGAAAAGGTACTGCCCTAGTCTGAGTCCCACATGCTCTTACCACAGGCCCTGCAGGGAGCCAAGTACCTAAAGTCCTATCTTTAAATTTGTTATAGGAAAGAGAGTGAATCTGTTAAGACTGAAGTTAGAATGTGGCACTTTTGACCCTAATTCTGAAACACCTCCTGTTTTGCCCGACGGGGGAAAAAAAAATAAAGTCTTTGTACTCAAATGTCATCATTTCAAGGAAATGTGAACTTTTCTCCAATCTACCCTCCTCTTGGAGAAGTGATAAACACTTTGATTGTATCTAACATGCTGTGTCATTTTCATATTTTCTGTATTTCTAGCTTTCTATCTTCCCTGCTGTGCTCCAACTTCCCCAAAGGCAAAAGACCTGTGTTTTAACTACTGGGCATGCTCATTTGGAAATCTAACCAGTTCATTCTTGTTGTTGAACTTAGCCAGGTGTGCTTCTAAGTTTCCACAATTCAGCTTTGCGACGGGCCATGAGTTTTCATGTTGGGCAAGGAAGAAGCAGTTCTGGTTAATTTTATGCCAGGCATTCATGCATATCTTTGCTTCATCGTCACACGTCTTATTTCTCGTTGTTCTTGAGGTTCCAACTGAAATGAGCACACAACACGAAAGACACTGTGAAAAAAGCGAGCCTGACTGTCATTGTAAGAGTCTCCTATATTTCACACTGATGAAAGGAATTCCACTTCCACATCCCATTTCAGTCAAATGGCTGAAATGACTTTTAAATAAATTTAGTCATTTGCTCTGTGATGACAGGTCAACCAAGAGCACAGAAGGAGAGAAAAAAAAAAAAACACTGGAGAATTAAGATCTCCATGTAACTTAAAATAGTAATGAGCAACTTCCAGAAATGTAAAGTCCCCTGACAAATCTTTCTCTGGTATTTTCATACAACTGGAATTTATTTACTAATTCACATCTCTTATAATTGGATATGGTACCTTAGATATTTTACCACATACTAATGGATTCCTCTTTAGTCATAATATCAAAGAGTTGGTCCTTTCCTGTTGGCCTATCTGATATTCAGTTGTTTCTCAGAAACAGCATTTCCTCAGAAGTTGAAGCTATAACTTTGTCCTTTGTTTTAGGGAAAAAAAATCAGGAAGGGGAAAACACTGAAATTTAACTTTTACACCATTTCTCATTTTCTCCTTAACTCACAGCACTGGATATATTAATTTACTTGTTTGTGACTAACCCTGAGAGAAAGTGTTTAAGGTACTTTTTTACCCAAAGACTGGAAAAACAAACAAGTGACCGCTTCCTACTCAAGCTTATGAATGGGAGCCTACTCATTTGGAAGCATTAACTAGCAGTAAGATTCTGTACACATAAAACCTGATGTGATAGCACAGTAAAAACACTCATTTCACTGAAATTACTTGGAAAAGCCCCAACTTACCATAAAATATTGGGTTCAAATATACAACTATGTCAGGAACCAATTTCCTCCTAATATCATTACAGGAACCATCGCCCTGGGGAGTCTGCAGAGAACCCCACACCCATAATTATGTTAAGAATCCTTCTATTGACAGAACCTACCCCACACCCAATTAAGCTGTTAATGGAGAGCTATCTGTTAGCGGAACCCACCCCACATTCCAAACTATCTAGAGAACTAGGTGTGTCAACTCGTGACTTCTTGGCCTATGTGACCTGACCAAACGTAACCTCCTGGCCTACGTGACGAACGTGAACCACGTGACAAGAATCCAGGCCCCTGTGCCCTCCCCCAATTCCTTACCCTATATAAACTGTAAACCTGTCTCTAATAAAACAGGGGCTTCTACAAATTTTTGCCTAGCCTCCTTCCTCTTTCCTAGCTCATATCTTCCAGATAGTGCCTCTCCGTGACCCTGGAATAACTGAACTGCAGGGTGGGTTACAACCCCTAGGGACTGAGTAACCCACCCAAGGCAATCAACACAACTCCTACCAAACAGTTGGCTTAAAACACAAACTATCAGAAATGCAGTTTTATAATTCATCTGCTAGCTTATATTTTCTTTCATTTGTACATCCAACTACACCCAAACTGAGCACTTACCCTGTGGCAGACATTTATCTTTTTGTAGTTCTTGGAATACAAAAATAAATACACCATGAAAAAAAATCGCTTTCATGTAAGTTGCATACCTGAAACCATATAGTTTCTCATGAAGAGCATCCAGGTCAAGGGATAAGTATGACTGTACAACAGTCAGGTTGGGTTAGACACAGGTGATGCCTAGTACCTGAAGAAAGGTGGACTGGGGAGGTAAGTCTGCCTCCAGGGTAAGAACACATTTTTCTAAGCAATGGGAAAAGGTGAGCATGCCTGGCTTGTTCACCAAATAATGAAGATGCCCACGTTCCTATAGATTAAGTGAAGGATTCTGTATTAAGTGAAGGATTCTGTAGTCCTAGTGAGGGGTCCCTTTCTCTAGAACAAGGTGAATGAGTCCTGAAGAAAGACATCCAAGGGTGACTTCTGGCTTCTATGGGAACCTACACTCCTGCATGCACGCACGCACACACACACACACACACACACACACACACACACACACACACACATACAGGTGAGGGAGAGATATTTCAGCATAAACACAATTGAGTTTGAGATGAGCAAGTAGTTAGATTTTATTTTTTTAAATGATTGAATTCAAAAAGTGTCCCAGTTTAAAGATGTTTTTATGTCATAAAATTTTGAGATCTGTTCAGAAGGCCAACAGGACAACAATGCTTCAAAGACTGGGTGCATGAAGAGACATATTGGAACACCGTGCAGGGGGGAAGGAGGAAAAAGTAAGGGAAATAAAGTCAGTTGTGATAGAGGCAGGGCACAAGCAGTAGGACTAAACTGACTTGAAAGCCAAATGGAATTATTTCTAGGAAGGGATTTTAAATGGTGTGAAGAACCAGAGGTTATCTTAGTTGATGCCATCAAAAGGCGAACAATGCACAGCTCTCTCCCCCTTTCGTCAGTGTTAGAGCTCCACTCTTCTGTGATCGTCTATGAGCCTTGGGTGGGGGGAGGGTGGTATAGATGATTTATCCAGAGCTGAGTCCTCATATTTATTACACTGGGCAGCTCAACCAGTTACCTATGTGTCTGCATCAACCACTGCTTGCTTTGAAAAGATTTTTCTCAATATCAAGTTAGTGAAAATTCCAACACGAGTTGGGGAGGCCTTCCCTCTGAGGCCTATCTTTTTTGCATTGAGTGTGGACCCTAAAGAGAAGGGAGTGACTCGCCTTTGGGGACATGGCTGCAAGAAGGCTATCCATATCTAGATATAGGCAGTGCTAATTGGATTGAGAATCCCCTCAATCATCACAGCAACAAAACAAAGAGCATGAAATTGAAAGGGAGTTTCTGTGGATGGTACAAAAGAGATGGATATGACCAAAATACATTGTATAATAGTATGAAATTTTCTAAGAGAAAAATAATTTTTAAAATGAACATGGAAGGCTGGAGAGATGGCTCAGAGGTTAGGAGCACTGACTGCTCTTCCAGAGGTCCTGAGTTCTATTCCCAGCAACCACATGGTATCTAACAGCCTCTATAATGAGATTTGGTGCCACCTTCTGCAATAAAGGCATACATGGAGTCAGAATGTTGTATACATAATAAACAAATAAATAAATCCTTTAAAAAATAAAATGCATGTGTATTGTCAAGTAACATTGAACAGATGATGGCTACTAAGTAGTGGCACTGACTTTTTGGTAAACAGCGACAGGTTTCACAGAAAAGAAGAAGCAGAAACCTGATCAAAGTGGATTTAATAGAAAGTTTGAAAAGCAAAGGCACTGGGGTTTAATTCCACGGCAAGAGCCCATGCTTAGCACGAGCAAGGCTCTGGTTGAACTCTAAACACCATCATGTTTAAGCAAAAACTTAGCCATCTGAGCTGCAGATGTAGTCTGTTGGTAGACCGTGTGCTTGGAATACACGCTGTCCTGGAGAAAGGAAGGACCTACAGACGAATGGAAAGGAGAGAGGTAGGCAGGGAGCAGAGGAGGGAGAGGAAAACAAAATCACAGAAAAGATTTCAAGAAGGTTTCTGTACTAAGCAGCAAACATAAGCAGCACTTATAGCAAGAATAGGGGCTAAGGAGAATTTTTTGTTTTTACCCCATTTGGGAATAAACTGTGACCTTCATTCTGTCGCTGAACAACAGTGGTATACGGGAGACAAAAGGGCAGAGCTAGTGACCGAGTAAGACAATACAGGGTCTAGCATAGAATCTGGACACCCCACTATCAGGAAAACCTCTTTGGTGGTTGGGGGGGGGGAGTATCTCCCACCATTGCTTCTGTTAGAATAAGGTTCCACACACTCACGGGTGGCAGTAGAGGCTAACACACTCCACCGCCATTACAGCCGGCTCGGTTTTCCGACGTGAATACTGTACCTACAAGGTCATGCCCTGGAGTACACACCCAACTCCTGATAAGGCTTTATCTGACCACCAGGACTCACTTTCCTCTTGCTTCAAACTGAACAAACTTCCGCCAAGTAATTACTCTGCCACAGCTGATTGCTTGTGATTGTCGCTGTCCAGTTAGAGAGGGGGATAAAAGCCTTTCTAGGCATGAAGTCCCATTTTGGGATGAATCAGCAGTAATTAGGTGCAATACATATTTATCCAAAGACTGTTTTTTCTAGGAGGCAAACGGACAGCAGAAACCAATCACTTACATTTTCTAGGGAAACTGAAAAACCCCCAAAGAAGCACAACAACACCACCACATAGCAGGGTCCACAGGGTCAGCAATTTCTTCGCATCTGCACATAAGGCAAACAGACATGTCACTATTTATCAGAGAAAAACAGCAAGCAAACAAAACCCCCATTAAACAACCAAAAAAAATACATATTCTCTGTGTCCTATTCACAACTCAGTCTTTGCTCTGAGTAGCTCAGAAAGGTGCTCAGGAGTAGCTTTGCCTCTAAGTGTCATTTCCAAGAACTGGGCGGTGTATTCTCCAACAAGGCTTGCAGAACAAAAACCCAGTCCCCGCCTTCCCCAGAGGGTTTGGTTTCGTTTTGTGGTTTTGTTTGTTTTAATGGTACGTCCTTTTTTTTTTTTTTTTTTTTTTTTCCAGCTAGGGAAGGACGGATCTGGTGGGAAGGTGGTGTTCCTTTTTCCTTTCAGTTTTGAGCCTTTGTTTTGTAGACGACGACAGTGATCGTTTTCATTTAAGGTCCACGTGCGTACCCTCTGCCTCACAGGCTAAGCAAAGGCTACCAGTCTTAGCCAGCAAACAAACCCTGTCATCTCCTTACCAAACTTTGTCCTATGATGTACTGATACATGGCTTGTCTGGGATGCTCTGTATAAATTTTCCACCATCATCTTGAAGGCGCTCCAGTGACTACCGAGACAGAGAAATTTCTTAGGTCAAAAGGAGAACTGATAATCATATCCGTTGTCAAGCCTTTGGACTCTGAGGGCCAAGTTTCTCTGGGGTCAGGGACGGAGCAAGACTGGTGGACAGATGATACAGCACCGCTCCAGCCTGATGGTTAAGCACTGAAGCTGCGCTCGGATCCGACGGGCCACAAGATCTCTCACTGGGCCTGTCCTCGCTCCTCTGTGAGAGTAACGGCAGCGGGACACACCCCAACGGTGTCTGCTAGCAGCCCCGGATTGGCTAGCAGCCACCGTGGGGGGCGGGGAGAAGCTTGATTGGCATCAACTCAACCTGCCGTCCAGTCAGCAGATCAGGGTTCGCCCTTCCCTGGACTTTGTATAATCCTCCCCAAATCTCCAATCTGATATACCTGTGTAACTTCGGGATTGTTTCAACTAACTGTAAATTGCATTTATTCTCTCGTGCATTTTTTGTTTTGTGTTTCAGTATCTGTTTGTATTTTCAATTGTCATGTGGATTGTATAGTGAAATTTGGCAAAGCAAAACCATTGATTTTATGCGCGTTCATGGTAAACTAAGGCTTGTTTCCTACATAGGCACTATCCTCTGCACAGAGGCCTAGCATGATAGATTCCAGCATAAGATGGAATTACGCCTACGCTTTCATTTCGCTAATGCTTTTCTACGTTCATATTTTGAAACAAATTACTTTAGAAAGAATAGTTTTAGACACAAAGGAAATACAGCTTGTTGTTTATAGCTACACTGTGAGATTTAGAATCCAGTTTCCTGGCAGAGCAGTTACTAAAAGTATGTGATAAAATGCTCTAACAGGGTCTGCAATAGCTTGTGACAATGGTTAGAACTTGGTCTGGAGTAAAGCTGGTTGCCTGGAAACATCGAAAAAGCAGTGGCACAGAGTTGGTGGTGCCTTTGTCCCCATCATATCTCTAGTTCTTTCTGGAAAACATAGAGATGATTACAGCTGTACCAAGTGTTCTGTTGTATAGTGCACACACACACACACACACACACGTGTGTTGTGTTGCTTTTACGTTGCTGTGGCAGCCTGGATTTAAAAGCCGGTGCTATGATGTTGCTTTTGATGGAAGCTTACTTTGCAGAAACCTTGCTAGTGGTGTTCTTCCTTACAGTATGGATTAGATCTTCAATGCCTGTGAAAGGCCTATGAGTTATAGACTTAAGCCCTCAGGGTGGCATTAGGGAGAGGCAGAGGAATGTATGTAAGGCAGAGTACAGAGCTGGAAGGGTCCTGGGAAGGTTCTCTTGAAAGGGGGTGACAGGGTTCCTATCCTTTCCTTTTCTGCTTTTTGCTTCTGAGGTGGATGGTTTTGCTTTACTGTAATCCTACTGTGAAGCTCCGCCTCACCCTCACACCCAAACTATGCTGCCATCCAGCCAGCATCTGAAACTCCAAAACCATGATCAAAAAGGAATATTTTCTCCTTGTGCTCTGGATCAGCTAGCTGGCTTGGTCGCATTGTGTACTCAGCGTCATGGGTAGTCAAGAAACAACTCCCTGGTGGTCATTGTGGGCTCTTAGGTCCTGAAAGCTAGCAGACTGGACTGACAGACTCAGAGGCTTGTTTAACTCCAAGCTTTGGGAACATGCTCCAGGCCTTAGGACCCAGAGACAAGCAGTCATCAGTGCTTCAGTTAGAGTCTTAGTGTTTGGCGCTCCTGTTGTCGGTAGCCTGGGGCATCAACAGCTAGTTAAACCTTAACCCAAAGAAGTAGTAGAGGATGACTGCAGGCAGCAGGGTGTAGCAGAGGCTAGTTTTGTAGCTCGGGCTGCAAGTGCTGAGACCTATTATTGCTAGTGATATAGTTCCTTGACCTAGGGTATTTGGACCCTTGGCCTTTGAGACACGGCAGCATTGGAAGTGATTGGGGAGAGTTTGGAATGTTGCAAGTCCAGAGACAAATTATCTTGGTGTATTTTAACTCCTTAAATAGCCACATGTGTCACTTCTGTATATGACCTAAGGTCCTGTGATCATCATTTACAGCCTTTTTCAGTACACTAAAAGAATACTAACTTGTCTTGACCCCGAAATAAGAACGTCATCAGACAGCACTTTAGGCCCTTAGATTTCCCAAGTTGCTGGAACCTACCCACCTAATACGTTCACCTACTGTATTTGGGAAGTTTGGTGGCTGATAGTTTTCTTTGTTCTGTTACTTATAAAACATATAAGATTGTTGCCACGTTGAAAAATGGAATTTGAGAGCAAGTTAAGAAATATAGTTCAGGCCCATTTCTGACAGTAAAGGTATCTTCCCTTCTGCTCTCTAGCTTGGAAACTTGACGCATGGTCGCTCCATGTGTTGGGATTTTACCATTTCTAAGGATGTCCCTGAGCCTTATTAAAGACCAGGTTAACCTCCAAATCTACTTCTTTAAGATGTAAATCCAACTTATTCTGGCAAAACTCAAACCTTTGAAAGTACAGACCTGAGATTATTGATACCACAAAGTAGAAAATCAAAGCAACAATCTAGCTCACAATTGATAGAGTTAAACAAAAGCTCTAAAACCTTGTCTTTAAGATTTGTCTTCATGTAAGATCTGTGATTATTTCATATTATATTGGCTTGTAGGTGGGTGCTTACATAAATTGAGTTGTTACACTAACCCATATTCATTTATGACTGTAGAAAAACTAGAATTTTAAAGGAACAATGAAACAAAGCAAATGCTTCAACAGCCCCTAACGGTTAGACTTGGCCACCTGTTCAAGAATGCTGCATAGAGGGCTAGAGTAATAATGAGGGACAGGAAGGAGTTTTTCAATCTGTATGGCTACGTTGGGGGAATAAATAGAGGAAACTGAGAGGCATTTGGAGAGGTAAGAATAGATCTTGGAAGAGTTGGGGGCACCAGCAGAGCAAATATGGTCAAAATACATTGCACGCATGCCTAAAATTGTTACAGAATTGATACAAATATCACAATACAAAAGGATCCATTGAATAAGAAAATGAGATATAAAGGTTAGTGCCAGGCCTCCTTAGCCTTATTCCTCAGGGAAAGGTGAATGCCCTATCTGCCCATTCTGCAACCCCACAACACAGGACAATCAGATGTGATAGGGAGCCAAATCAAAGCAGGAATTCAGTTTATTACTGTGAGCATCAGCTTATATAGGTTAAGTGACATTGTGTGGTATTGGGGGTACCTCTAGCTAATGACATACAGCCAATCCCTCCCTCTGGCTGGAAGGGTGTCTACCTAGATTTCTGTCTCACCCCCACTCAATAGCTTTGATACTATCCTTCGAACTCAAGCCAGGCTTTTCTCTGTTCTACAAGTCTCAAGGTACAGGCCCTGAGATAATCTTAGCCCAACAGGTTAGAAATATAAATGTAATTTTGGTAAAAAAAAAAAAAGGTTGGAGGAAAAGGAAATGCATTTATGTGAAAAAGGATTTCATATACTAAATTTTAAAATTTTTGTTCAATGCTAAAGGACTGTTTCAAAATATAAAGAGATGAGGACAAAATTAAAATTTTAAATATATTATAAGAGGTTGTAGGCATTAAAACGTAAAAAAAAGATGTTATAGGCATAAATAAATTGATAAAAATAAAGATTATTAAAATTACTAGGGTCAAAATTTAACACCCTGAAATAAAACTGATACCCGAATCTCAGTCTCTAGTAAGGAACCTTTTAAAAGTTGCTCTGGTCTTAATAGTGTTTACTAAAAATATTGCTTGCAAAAATGAACCAGGGGCACTGAACCCCAACTGGAAGTTCACATGCTTAGAGGAACAATCTTTGTTTGCGGCTTCCATCAACAACCCTGCAGGCCAGGAAACCTAAAACCAGACTTAACCTTCTGCACATAGTCTCAATCCACACGCGGTGCTTCAATACGCCACGGAAAAGGGGAAGGAAACTGGTACCAGAGTAACACAGGTCATGGCTTATGGCTTTGACTCAGTATTAGCAGGTTTGAGCTTATTCATTTACCAGTTACACTGTGGTAGTGGTGTCTCACATTATTTATTTATTTATTTATTTATTTATTTATTTATCTGGCTAATTAGTTATTTCAGGGGTGGTGGTGGTTTGAGACAGTGTCTCTCTACATAGTATTGGCTGTCCTGGCACTCACTATGTAGAACAGGCTGACTTGGAGCTCACAGAGATCCACCTACTTCTGCCTCTCCAGCACTGGGAGCAAAGCTCCTGTTAATATAACCAGAACATTTGCACCAGAGATCATAGTGCTTCATTACTCACTCTCTGCATGTCACCTCTTTGTATGTTCAGGTCTGACTAAGCCAGTCTTTCTCGGGGAACTTTGGCAGTTCTACGTACAGAACACCATGCGTGTCCTCTGTGGTTGTATCAGTAAGTAATTGAGAACCGAATCATTCCAATTATTTTCGTGCTAGGCAGGTTAATCCTATGCTGTACCTGTATCATGGGGTTAGAGTGAGTTTTTCAATTTGCACAAAAATAAATCCAAACACAATTTCTAATTTTACTTTGTGTAGAAATGAGAAAAAGGAAGAAATATGAGGAAGAAAGATCCTTCCTCTTTTGACTCTTGCCTGTTCTTATCTGAGACAACAGACGATTTGTGACTCTTGGGCACATATTTGAGAGATTGGCACAGTGGGCTTTTAAAAAGAAATTCTGGCTTGTGAGGTTAGCTCCAGTTTACACAGAGAAAATTAAAATTTCAGATGGACTCATTCAGCCTTTAGCGCTCTCTCTCTCTCTCTCTCTCTCTCTCTCTCTCTCTCTCTCTCTCACCTTTTCCAAAGGGCAATTTTTGGAGCTTTCTTAGAATATTCATCAATGTCTGAAGAAATTGTTTATGCAAATCTCAAATTCCAGGACTCTGATAAGAAAGAAAATCTGCAGACATCTGGCAAATGCGGTGGAAAAGGTAAGATTTTGAGCCAAGGCTGTGGCAATAGCTACAGTCCCACACTTCAAATCTAGCAATAATTCAGTGTGGATTTTTAATTAAGCTTTTTATTTAAACCAAAGTATCAAAGTGATTATAAAGATATTCTTACTTACGGCATAAATTCCTGCAACAAAACACTATATTTTACATTGCAATATGTTTTAAAATACGAAACTCAATACAAGTGACAGGATCTTATTTTCAAATGCTGGTGTTTTTTCTTTGTTTGCTTTTTTTTGAGACAGGGGTTGTCTGTGCAGAAATGTTGGTGTTCTAGTATGAAGATTTTTTATTTGGTTTTGTTTTATGTGTGTGTGTTCATTCATGAAGACATGGAACTATGATTATACATTGTGCAGGAAAGTCATGGACTTACATGTTACTGTTTTTAAAGTTTTGAAAAGTAAAATGCTTGCAGAATAGGATAAAGAGAAATAGAAAGAGAACACGTGTGTGTGTGTGTGCATGCGCGTGTATGTGCACTTGTATATGTGTGTATCCAGAGACAATATTTTTTATCTGACCTCTTTCCTCATTGTTCATGGAGCTTGCTCTATTCAAGGTCTTTTGGGGCTTCCTTGTTTTATCCTAGCATTTGGATCTCTATTTTTTGTTTTAAATTTAGATTACCTCCAGGGATTTAGCTTAAGTTGTCAGGCTTGCACAGCCAGTGCCTTTACCCCCTGGGCTACCTCATAGCCTCTTTTTCCACCGCTGTACCCTCCTACTGTTTTCATAATGCTAACCAGTCTCTTTTAAAATTGCTTTCCTCTCTAGCACTGAAGGGGCAACATTTTAATCTCAACTACTAGAAAGCTTGAGGCAGGTGGGTTATAAATTCAAGACCTGCCTGAGCTGCAGAGTGAGTCCAACGTCAACTCAGGCAGTTAGTTTAGTGAGATCCTGTCTTAAAGTAAGAAGTAAAGAGTGTGAGGATAGAGCTTTGTGCTAGAGCACTTGCTTAGCATGTGTGGGGTTCTACTTTCAACACAACATAACACAACATGACACACTCAACACAACCCTCATACCACACCAAAACCTAAGTGAAATTCTTTCACACCAGGCATTCTCCAGGATACAACCTCTTGATCTTCACTTTTTCTGTGGTTGAGCTGGTTTTGCTGTTCTGTTTGTCCTGACTTCTTGCCTGCGCTCTTTGGTGGCTCACACCAGGGCACTTTCCAGGTCTCCTTCTCCTGTGCTACAATATGCATTTCTAAATCATCTCATGCCTTTCAGCTTCCAGTACCACGACTTCCAAGTATCTGCTCATGACCTTTACTGAGCCCTCGGCATTTGTCCTCTCCTCCACAGACTGGCTTGCTTGGCTTTGAATTTTTCCTGAGCATTCCTTCTCATACAGAGCAATCTTTAGCTACTCTCAATGCCTTCTGTTCCACACATAAAAATCCCCCCCTAAATCAGAGTCAAAGAGCTGGATACTCTTACTCTCATGTTATTCACCCCAACTCTGCACATCTCTTCCCCGTATCCATGACATCTGGACCACATACTTTCTAAAATAAAAGTGTTTCAAAAGCTGTCTGTCTGTCTGTCTGTCTGTCTATCTCTGTATCAAGCACTTAGCTGTTTCTTTTCTGTCACTTTAAGATTCATCTGCATGACAGCATAAACTTGCACATTCTATTACTTTGTTTTATGAGCAGCCACAAGAGTGTCTAGTACCTAAATGGCACAATATGATAACTTTTAAATAATTCAATACATCATAAGTAAGAAAATAATTTTGACAAAAGATAACACATGAGCTTGATTTTTAAGCCTCAGGTAAAGACTGGAACAGTATTTATAGTACTTTCAATAACGACAATTTTTACAAAATATTAAAAAATCAAGTTTTTTATATGTCACTTTTGTGAAATTTTACAACACTGTTATGCTACTAGCTGTTGCTGTAAGACAATTTCCGGAACAGACTAAGAATATTAGGTAATTCTTGAACTACATTCTTAAAACAGTTGTAGTGGCATCTCATTTGTGCTTTAATAAATAAAGCTTGCACGAGGATCAGAAAAGTAAAACAGTCACACTGGCCAGTCTTACAGACCAGGCAGCAAAGACACACACCTTTATTCCCAGTAGCTACACTAGCTTGCCATAGAAACCAGGCAGTAGTGGTGCACACCCTTAATCCCAGAACTAGAGAGGATTATATAATGGGAGAAAACAGCTCTCACTCTAAGTCTCATTCTGAGATTCCTGGAGGCAGGATCGTCATTTCAGACTGAGAGAGAGGAAAGAGCCAGTGACTGACTATTTTGCTTTTCTGATCTTCAAGTTGAACTCCAATTTCTATCTCTGTATTTTTAATTATTCGTGCTACAAACAGTCTTTTCATATATTCATATATGGTGATAATTTAAATCATGGAATGCCTTACCAGTGATTCACAGTTACTTTTAGGAAAATGATCTACTCTGTGATTCTTTGTTCAGAAAATAATAAAGATCATTCCATCACAATGTTTTGCTAGAAAATCATAGAAAATATTGAAAAAGTAATGAGAAGTGCAAATGAGGCAGGGTGTTGTTGAGGGATGCCGACACATAACCAGTGAGAGCCTGCTCTGCTGTTCAGCAGCTCCACCCTTGGTGTTAGAGGGGAAAGTGTTAACAGCTGGGATTGCCCATCAAGCCTCACCTCTACATCCCAAGAAGCTCCTCAGACTGACTTGGCTTCCCTCAGCCTCCAGACAATTGCCACAATGTATCCAAGGATACACTCTGCCGCCAGTCGTCTCCATTTTCCTTCCTCCTCTCTATTTTATAAATTTTCTCTTTCCTTTTTTGGTATCTTTTATCAGCCTAGGGATTAATGTCTTTGTCTATGAGACTTTTTCTCATTCAAAAGAATTTACTACTTTTCTTACTTTAAAAATTCATTGTCTTGATCTTATTAGTAAGAAATTTGAGACATTTAATGAACAAAAGATCTGGACAGTAAAACAGCATAGATCTTAAAATAAAACCTGATGCCTTACTTATGGTTTCCTATCTGATTATTCTTGAAAGAAATTAATGTCTTTGGGTTTCGAACAAATTACTTTTTTATTAGAAAAAATACATAGGAGAAAAGAAATGAGGAGAGGATGAATGAATGAATGAATGAGACAGGATGAATGAATGAAACTGAGGTGTGAACTGCTTCTTGAACACTGTGCTCTTTTTCTTTTCACAGTACCTTCTGCCCCTTCCTATTCACAGCATAAAGCAGTCTTGATTCTAACTGTTCTATGCCTTCTGCTGCTCATTGGACTGGGAGTCTTAGGAGGTTTGTGTATGTATCACATCATTCTTTAAAAAGAAAATCTAAATTTAATTAAAATATAGTTGCACCATTTCTCCCTTTTTCCTATAATCACTCTCATGCCCTTGCCTGCTCCTTCTCAAATTCAGAACCTCTTAGTCTTCAATTATTCTTGTTACGCAGATATATAAATAAATACAAAAATGCAACCTGATGAGTTTGTGCAGTGTTACATATATATTTATATGTATTTGTAAATGCATGCATCTATATAGATATTTTGGGCTAATTTAGAATGCCATGAGTTGCTGAACCAATGTTTATTCTTTTTCTACCACTTTAATACTTCAGTGCTATTTTTTTTAAATATTTATTTATTTATTTATTATGTATACAATGTTCTGTCTGTATGACTGCAGGCCAGGAGAGGGCACCAGACCTCATTACAGATGGTTGTGAGCCACCATGTGGTTGCTGGGAATTGAACTCAGGACCTTTGGAAGAGCAGGCAATGCTCTTAACCACTGAGCCATCTCTCCAGCTCCCTTCAGTGCTATTTTTGAGGGAAAAAGCTCATCAAGTTTTTTCATCAAGTAATGGTGAAAGAATAACTGAGAATTTATAAGTTTTTAAAAATCGTCTACTATTTTCTTCTCTCCTGTCTTTAAAAAATCCTGGAGTTCATACAACTTTATGGACAGAAATGATAAAATCAAATCAACTACAAAACATCAGAGAAGAACTTCAAAGAAATGTTTCTCTACAGCTGATGCACAATATGAACAGCTCCAAGAGAATCAGGAAACTGTCTGCCATGCTGCAAAAGACAGCCACCCAGCTGTGTCGTGAACTGTGTATAAACAAACCAGGTAACCCTGTACTGCTCTCAGAACTATTCCTCGGGCAACAAACTAAACCTTAGGGTCCTTTAAGAGTCACTTTCTTAGCTGAGCAGTGGTGGCACATGTCTTTAACACCAGCAGCACTCAGGAGGCAGAGGCAGGTGGATCTCTGTGATTTCGAGGCCAGCCTGGTCTACAAAAGATCATTCCAGGACAAGCACCAAAGCTATAGGGAAACCCTGTCTCAAAAGAGTTAAATGTGTTTGGTAAACTAGTTAGGGGAAAAACATGAAAGTAGAAATAAATAGACTGCCAATTTACAAGGTTCCACAGTTACATAATGAAACACCACAGAGTATACTCAGTTTCTCTAATCTGTGGTTTATTACCCTTTTCCTAGGCCCAAAGCTCAGGAGGTAGAAAGTAGGGAAGGGTGCCTCTTTGTACATGACCTCATTCCTAAATTTCAATTTGTGCTGAAGGGGTGAAAGATCCTGGCAAAGAAATGAAGTCTCAGGTGATACACCGAGCAAGGAAGGAAGTGTTGCCTTTCAGTGCTTTTGTAGTTATTATGGCTAAACTATGTTCCTGTGCTTCTAAGGTGCCTCTTCAATATTCCAGAAGTTGAAAGCTAGAGAAACACTTGCTGGAGAAAACCAGACCGATTTGGCTCTGTAAACCTGGTTTTACAAGACAGCATTTGCTGTGATTAATTTTTAGAGTCATATGTGAGTCAAAAAAAAAAGAAAGAAAGAAAGAAAGAAAGAAAGAAAGAAAGAAAGAACGAAATTAAGAAAGAAAGAAAGAAAGAAAGAAAGAAAGAAAGAAAGAAAGAAAGAAAGAAGGGAGGGAAGGAGGGAGGGAAGGAAGGAAGGAAGGAAGGAAGGAAGGAAGGAAGGAAGGAAGGAAGGAAGGAAGGAAGGAAGGAAGGGAAAGAAAAAAAGAAAAACTATTCAGGTTCCTAAGATGGACAACATGTTTGAATTTGGCCATGTTCTTGAACCTCTGTGTTTGCCCAAGTATTGTGTCATGTTCCTAGGTTGATGTATAGGGATGCAAATGACTTGGTTTCTTTCTCCTTGACATAAAGAGAAGAAACACAGTAAATCTGATCAATGTCCACAGACAGTAAAGGAATTGTAGTCAAGGGTGTTCATGCAAACCTATAAAACTCTGTCCTCCTTCTAGAACACAGATGCAAGCCTTGTCCAAAGGATTCACAATGGTTTGAGGACAGTTGTTATTCCAAACTTGAAAAGTTTGAAACGTGGCAAGTGAGTGAAATGCTCTGTTCTTCTCGAAATGGCAGCCTGCTGAAGATTAAGAACAGGAATGTGCTGGTAAGGTTCTATGTCTCTGTTCCCTCTGGAAGGAATCACTTCACATCATGGAATGTGGGATGAAGAGGGATGTGTTGGGAAGACATGCAATGATCCATTCATGACTCGGGATTGTTTTCCTTACATGAGGAGGGGAGTGGGACTTGCACTTTTGTCTCAGGGAAATCACAGTCAAGCTAAAACACATGAGCTTTAGCTTAATCAAAATCTTAGAAGTTGCAGATAGGTGGGTAGATCAGGGACCCCCAGAATCCTCAAGTCTATGTTATTTGCAAGTTGGAAGTGTAGTAACAGGTTTCTGTGTATGTCCTCAGAGTAGCTATCCAAAGACAAAAAGTGTGACCATCATGGCTAAGGCTTCCCATTCCCATAAAAACCACATAGGACAATCTTCTTTATTGTCAATATATTATTTTTTATTTCCTATGGAAAGAAGCCAGATAAAGTAAAATAGGGTGATATTTGTTTAAATATGGATACTGGGTTGACAGAGAAGAGGCACATGTTAAGCAGACACATTTGCACAGAGTTATTAGAACTAATGATAAGTGAATGCTCTAGTTTGCTTATTTATTTGTTTCTGTCAGTGGTTCTCAACCTTCCTAATGCTGCACATATTTAATATAATCCTTTATGTTGTGGCAATTCTCAACCATAAAATTATTTTCGTTGTTACTTCTTCATAACTGTAATTTTGCTACTGCTATGAATTGTAATGCAAATATTTGAGTTCTGATGGTCTTAGGTGACCCCTGTGAAAGAGTCATTCGATTCCAAAGGAATAGTAACTCACATAGTTGGAACTACTGATCTAACTAATATCTTTCTGTTTCATGTATTAATAAAGAGTTCTGGCCTCTCACATTGCAATCTTTTACTATTTTCTTTCTTTCTTTTGAGACAAATCTCCTCAGTAGCCCTGGCTTATCTCAAACTCATAGGAATCCTATTGTCTCAGTCTCCCAAGTTCTGGAATTACCTGTGTGAGCTGCTGGTCCTATATTGTAGTCATTCATCTTGGAGTAAAAACATATCCCCTAAGTGGTTCAGCTTCTTTAACATAAGAATCTTTGCCATCTTTTACAAGGGAATTCGATGAACTATTCTGTCTCAGTGACCTTTCTCAAGTAATCATTTATAATTATTTACTTTCAAGAAATGTCTGTCTTTAACAGAAAAGCAGATGTAATTTTGGGTAAAGTGTTCTGTGCTAATTTTGATTCTGTGGTTACTGCTCTTCTGTGGGTCTATTGCATTATACTTCTCTTTTCTGTTAAGTCCAGCTTGTCGTTATTAACCACCTCCTTTGCCCCAGATTGAATATTCACTACCCAAGTACTTATATCTGGAAAATTGTTAGCTTTCATTGACCCTACATAAAGGTGATTCAATGAATCAGCAGTCCTTTTGTCACCTGTGGTGAAGGCAGAAGAGGTCTCAGAGACTTCAACCCATTGTTGCCAAGTTCTGACACAGAAAGTGAAAAGTTGAACCATTTATTAGAAAGCAAAAATAAACCAGCAGAAGGGAGCTGAGCTTCTCAAGAGTCTCATCTCTGGGCTTGTGGATGGCTTGTTTTATGAGAAGTTTTACTTGGAGAAATGAAGCACGATTATAAAAGCTCAGGGTCAGAAATTTTTGGGGTTCAACCTGAAGATCTGAAAAGCAAAACAGCCAACCACTGGCTCTTAACCTTGATCTTAGTCTGAAATGGCGATCCTGCCTCCAGGAATCTCAGAAGGAGACTATATTTTGAGAGCTGTTTCCTCCCATTTCATAATCCTCTCTAGGACTGGGATTAAAGGCGTGCACCGCCCAGTTTCTCCTGTGGCTGCTGGGATTAAAGGTTTGTGTCATTATGGCTTCTAAGATTAAAGGTGTGTGTTACCATAATCTGGTCTGTAAGGTTAACCAGTGGGACTGTTTAACTCTCAAATCTTCAGGCAGTCTTTATTTATTAAAATACAGTTCAAATGCCACTACAGAGAAAAGACAAAGTTTAGGAGGGGAGGAGATTCTGGAATGAACTAGGATTGACCCTTTCTGTTCTTGTGCAGGGCAGGTAGGGATGGGTATGTTGTAGTATCAGATGCATAATGGAAGCTGCACTTTCTGCAAGGTTGATAAAGCAAAGAACCGTTTGTAGTTACCAGGGTCACCCATGGTCCTAACTAGTTTGTGGTGGTGTTGGTTTTTACTGTTTGAGCAGTAGCAGGATGTTCTGTCACAACACAGGTTGGTGGTTACATCAGCCTCCAAATACTGGAGTTTTCTTCTCATACTTCCCTGTGTCTACATAGCAGGCCCAGCTTTCTTCCTGCTAGACAGGAAACTGTGCTGTGAAAAAATGCTGACATGCTACACCAAAACTATAATGTTAAAACAATAGCCTGCAGTACGTGATCCTGTGAGGCAGTGTACAGATATAAGAAACAGCTTAACAAACGGGTCTTCTCTGTTTCTCTAGGAATTTATAAAGTCTAAGAACTTAAAAGGTTATTGGCTGGGGTTATCGCCCAGAACAAAGAAACTACCTTACAAGGAACTGAATGAGAACATGTTCCTCTCTGTAGGGTAAGTCTTTGTTCTTCTTGGATTTTTATGGTTAGACTTGAATGGACACATTTCTTTAGGAGCCTAGCAGAGGGCCTTTCACAGCAACTTCATTTGACACCATGCCTTTAAAGGCAACTGTCTCTGCAGGTGTCTGTGATGTATTTGACTATGTAGAAAATTGCCACACATGTCTTGCCATTAGTTTGGCAAATCTCCAATAACCTATAGGAATCAAAGTACAGATTTCTTGAGGGTTATTAGTATTATGATCTGCTGGCCTGGTCAGTTACCTAGGTACTCGGTCCCTTTAAGAGACAACCCCCACCCACTCCCAACCATCCCAATTTGCCTCCAGGCAAGCAGATCTCTGCCTTCTCCAGCCTATGCACACTCTCTTTCTGTCTGTCTTCTGAAGAGGTAACTACTGTTTCTCTCTCTCTCTCTCTCTCTCTCTCTCTCTCTCTCTCTCTCTCTCTCTCACACACACACACACACACAATACATTCAGTTGTGAGATCTAGTCCATCCACATAGACATTTTGCAATTTTTGTTCTACTTCGGCCCATTCTTTTTCTGCTTCAGTTGTTAATTGCCTAGTACTGTTTAAATCTGAGTCACCTTGCAAAATTTGACAAATTAATTCTTGAATAGCCAGGACTATGGTAGGGTGCAATCACTTAATATTTCCCAATAATTTTTGAAAATCATTGAGTGTGAATTGACCTCTCCTAATCTTTACCCTTTGTAGAGGATTCTCTGTTTACTTAATTTAAATCTTAACTAAGAAAATCTCTTTGAATTTTTTTCAGGAGCAATTTGTAATCCTGATTGGGGTAAAATTTTTTGTACTACATTAAACTTTTTTTTAAGGTATCTGTATCAGAAGCAACAAATAAATTATCATGTATATAATGGTAAATAATTAATTGAGGAAATTGTTTAGGTGTCATTTCTAGTGGTTGAAGCACAAAATATTGACATAAAGTTGAACTGTTTAATATTTCTTGAGGAAAGACTTTCCATTGCTATCATTTTACAATCTGGCATTATTATTAATAGGCACTGTAAAAGCAAAACTTTCCCTACCTTCTTCTTATAAAGAAACAGTCTTAAAAGCCAATAACTGTAATAGGCCAATCTTTAGGTAGTAAAGAAGGCAGAGGAATTCTGGACTGTAAGGATTGCATAGGTTGAATTACTTGTTTTATAGCAATGCTCAAATCAGTTAACATTCTCCATTTTCCAGATTTCTTTTTCATTACAAATACAAAATTCCAATAACTAGTAGTTTCCTCAATGTACTTAGTTAGCATCTAACTGTTCTTTTACTATCTGTTCAAGCACCTGTAACTTTTTCTTAGTTAAGAGGCAGTGGTCCACCAATACAGGCTTATTACTTAGCCATTTTGAAGGCAGAGTAGTAGAGTTTCAAATTTGGATAGCTAATTCCCCTTTTTTCCCCCATTGTTGAATAATCTGTATAGCCTGTGATTTTCCTTGATAATTTTTTTAATACTTTTTCTAGAAATGTACCTCATTTTTAACATCATCATTTGGGCTGTTTCTAAAATTGTAGGAATAAAATTTGAGCTCTCCATTGTTGCAACAAACCTCTCCCCTGCAAATTCATGGCTACATCATTCACATAAGGCTTTAATATTTTCATTTGTCTTTTAGACCTTATACATTTAATCCATTCTACACTTTGTTTCATCTGAGATAATGTTCTAATGCCTAACAACTGAGTAGAAACTTCCTGTAAAGACCAGTTAGGGTTTCAAGACTCGAGAAATTATAAATACATAAACTCCAGTGTCCACTAAACCTTCAATCTCAGTGCCATTTACTTGTAATCTTAGTTTTGGCCTCTCATCATTAAAAACAGTTTACGAAAATACTTTCTTCCCAGTGCTTAGAACATCTGCTGTTCTACATTTTGAGCTGTTTAACCTTTCAGATATGGGAGTAATAACAATTGAGCAATTCTATCTTCCGCCTCTATGTGCATAGTCCTTTTTACGTAGGCCATCTATAAAAGCATGAAAACAATCAGTATAGGAATTAGAGAGATCATTTTAGGCAACAGTATTTTTATAAAATCTTTAAAAGAGGATGCCTTTTTATAGACCCCAAGTGACAGACACATTGATGTGATTTGTCAATTATTAATAAAATGGAAAAATTTGCTTGTATTTTCTTTAGTAGAAAAATAATTTTGTAGGCTATTTATTAGCAAGAGATTAAGAGATTATTTCTATGAACTTTTGCCTAAGCACCCATATTATTACTACCACTCTATTTCAGGTCTTACATTTTTTTATAGAATGTAACTGAAAGTTTCTAGAAAGCAACTTAAAGAGTAGAACAAAATTCTCAATAATGATAAACAGACAAGAGCATGCCCAATAACATTGTTAAAAACATGAATTTTGCTTTTCTTGTTTATTTACTATGAAAATTAAACATTCATTTAAGCATTAATCAGTTGATCAAGAGAAGATACCACCCTCCGTACAATGAATGACTAATACTTCTGGAAATTCAAACAGCATTGGCTTAGTACTTTATGCCCTGACTGCAATTGTTTTTACCAGAAGTTGGGCTTTTTTTAGTTTTTTATTTCTCCCATGAATGGACCATTGATTGATAATGAGTTGTTCCCGCTATTAGAGAGAGAAACAAATAAACAAACAAACAGAAACATTTAAACCAAATTTAAGCAATCAAACAAACAAGAAAAATCTAAGTTCTTGGCCTGCTGTGCTGGCTCACAACGAAGCAGTTAAGCCCCGCCCATCAGTCTTTGACATTCAGACACCACCGCCCTGTGCTGGCGGGCCCTGGAATGAAAGAGCTGATGGCAGCAAGCAACAGCCAGAGAGCTCAGAGTTCTGGTTGTCAGGAATTTCTTTTATTGGAAAAAGCCCCCACCCCCACCCCAATACACACCTATTTTTCTTTTTCTGGGAAGTTTTTTTTTTCCTTTCCTTTATGTTTTGTTTATGGGGCCTCTTTATTATCTCATTCTTGAAATTTTAACTTGATACATCTTTGTACTGCCTTGGGGATGGACCTGACTAGGGTGGTAAGGGGATGAAGAAAAGGCAGGTATGATCACATGGGCAATCTGGGCTCTCTCAGAAGTCAGTGTGTTTATTATATACTGTTGGATGGTATTATTGTAAATCACATCAGCCATGAGAAAAGAGGCTAAGTCGGGAACTGAATGACAGAAAATATTCCAGATCTGAGAAGCTGAGAAAACAGGGTTTCACATCACTTATATATGCACTCCAATCTTCAGCCCAAATTTGACTTAGACAATAGACAAAAGAAATAATCATTTTGTGTTGAAGATTCTCTTATGTGGGTCTAATCAAAATATAACTTGCCAAGTGAACTTATTTTTTTCTTGCAGATTTGAAGGAAGCACATATGACTTAAGTAAAATGTACTGTGGATATATAAATGGAGGTTATGTTTATTATTCATCCTGCACTTCTGAAAACTATGTCATGTGTGTGGAGACAGCCAGGACTGTACAGGTGGAAAGTGTACTGGATGACCTTCCAGAGGGAAGAAAATAGCCACTGCAGTTGCTTACTCCAGCTTCTTTCCTGCTCTGATGGTTTGAATGAGGATGCCCCCCATGGGTTCATATTTTGAATACTTGGGCCCCAGTTGGTGCAACTATTTGAGAAGGAAGAGAAGGTGTGGCCTTGGTGGAGGTGGTACTTCACTGATGGCACATTTTGATTATTCCAAAGTCCACTCCACTTCCAGTTAATTTTTCCTCTGTTTTGTGTGAATTGAGATGTGAACTTTCAACTACTGCTCAAAGCATGTCTACCTGCCTACTGTCATGCTCATCATCATAATGGTTAAAGACTATAACCCTCCAGAACTATGAGCCCCAAATTACACCCTTTCTTTTATAAGTTGCTTGGTCATGGTGTTTTGTCACAGCAGTTGAGGAGTAGCTAAGACACAGAGGAAGGTTAGGCAGTGTACATCTGCTGCTGTTATCTGAGATTTCTGTCCTGCCCTGTTCCCACAATCATTAAGTCCCAAAGAAATCACGCAGAGGTCTACATGAGTTATAAACTGATTGGCCCATTAGCTCAGGCTTTTTATTAACTCTTAAAACTTATATTAGCCCATTATTCTTGTCTATGCTAGCCACGTGGCTCGGTACCTTATTCAGCAAGGCAGTCACTAGCTTGTTCTGTGGCTGAGCCAGGACTGCAGAAAGAGCTTCCCTCATTCCAGAATTCTCCTGTTCTCATTGACCTGCCCCTACTTCCTTTCTGATTATCCAGCCTATACTTCCTGCCTGGCTACTGGCCAATCAGTGTTTATTTAAAATATAATTGACAGGAAACAGAACATTGTCCCATAGCAATCTTGCTTCTCCTAATGTTTATGTCCAGATTTCTTTGCCTCCTTTGCTGACTGTCAGGAAACTAATTCATAGTTTTATCACCATGTACTTATTTTAGCACACATATGCTGAACACCAAACCATGGAATATATTTTGCCTTTTTTTTTTTCAAAGATGAACCAGACAAATTTCAGCCTTAGAGAAAATTATGTCTGGGAACATATAGGAAAAATAATATATGAACAAGTTGTATTAAAAATGTTATGTCCAAATTCGCGAGTTCCCCACAAAAAGTCAACAAGGAGACCGAGTCCCGAATGTAAAAGCAAAGAGCTTTTATTTTAATCAAGTTTGCAAACTTGGTCTCTCCACATGTCCAATGTATAGGAATAACTGGAGATCCCTGAGCTCAATTAGAATAGAATTTTATAGTACTTAAGTTGGGGGTGAGGGGTTTCTGAAGACTGGCTGAAATTTGTCTAGGATGTCCTGGTGAGTGTGTTCTGGCAGGTGTTCCTATCTACAGTGCCTGGAATGCCAGGCATTTCCTTTGAATGGTCTTTTCTTGGTCAGGTAATCTCAGTTTATTGTTCCTCCTGCAACCAGGCATTGCCTCAGGGTTAAGTACTGAGACTCAGGCCTCCAGTTAAATATTTAAATTCATTGATGGCCAGAGTCACAGGTGATAAAGGTTGGAAGTAAAGAACTTCCTTTGGGTGACCTGCCCATACTTAGCTTATCATGGTTGGCTCCCACAAAAAATGTATTAGCCTTTTCAAAGTAAAGTTTGAAGGGAAAAATAAGTTATTCAATAGACAGAGGAAAACATTTGATGAATACTTAAAGCCTTGCTAAGTAAAACTTAGGAAGCTAGGAGTAGAATTCTCAAAGATAATCAAGATTTGGTATAAAATAAACAGAACACAAATAAGCAAATACTCTAATGTTGAAATTATCACCATTGCACTAGTAAGGGAAAACATATTTCTACTTTCAAAACAAAATAAGGATGAACTTCATCAATCACTTCATTCAACAATAAGAGATGGAACCCAGCAGTGGAATAAGACAGAAAAAAGGCATATAAAATTTGAAAATAAAGAAAGACTAAAATAAAAGATTTCTTTTGTGGATAATATAATTATATACATTTGAACCAATATAGGTTTTAATTGCTATACTAAACAGTATATCATATCAAAGGCAATGGATGAAATTTCAACAGAACCCAAACATATGTATGAACAACTAGAATAAAATTTAAATGCAGTCTTGTTTTAACAGCTTCCATTGTAGGGGAAACTCTGCCCAATGGGGGGAAGGGCGTGTTCGCCTCGGGCTAATGTTTACATATAAATCTGGCCCTTGTGAGCCCGCCTTCTATCTCCTGCTCATCGATGGATCCCTGGTGTTGTAAGCTATTCCTTTATTAAAATTTGCTGTTTCATATTAAGCTAGCCTGGTTATTACGCCGCCTACATTTTGATGTCCAACATCGGGCTTTTTGGCCCCCACCCTGGCATGGGGGGGGCAAGCTCAGTCTTTCCCAGCCTTTGCGAGCACGCCCCGACCTGCCCACCAGAATTGCTGGGATCTAGCAAGTGGTGCAAGCGCCTCTGTATTCAGCCCCCCTCCCCCCCCCCAGCACCTAGCAGTAAACAGCCTGATCAGTACACAATGCCACTCTGCGCACGTGACTGCTCTGCGTCCCCCCTCCCCATGGGTGGCTAAGTCCTGCCTTGGCTCTGCCCCATTTCCTGGCCCTCCCTCCTGCTGCTTACTGTTAACTTTCAGTTTTGGGTTTTGAGTAGACTTTTCAGACCAGCTCTGACTTTGGCCACGTGGACTCAGGTGCATTTCTTTCACCACCACTGGCAGGAAAAGGTTGTTACAGGTAAAAAATTTTCTTTTATAAATAAAAATAAATACTGATTTGATTGAAAATGTCTGAAAACGTTACCATTCAAGACTTTAACAGCCTTTTTGATTGTACCATGTGGGAGATTTTACAAGAGGTGTCTGTCACACCCACATCTATGGATCTTTCTGGGATTCGTAGTTTTCCTTGGTACTATATGGTTTGATAATAGAAATATGATAAAGTCTTTATGAGACGAATCCAGGATTCTTAAGGCAGAGGTTGAACACTTAAAAACAATTGAGAATAACAACAGTCTTCTCAAGAATCAGTTTGAAGTTCTCCAGGAAGAGAACAGATCTTTGTTTAACATGACTCGATCAACTAAGCAAAATTTAGAAAAGGTACAGGCTGATGTTAAGGAGAAATTCATTACTATGGAAGAGCGAACAGCTGATTTGGATCATAAGCTTCAGTCCCTTTCTGTAGGAACTGAAATATTAACTGAGAGAATCAAATCTGCTGAATGTGACAATCGGATTTTGTCTAAAGCTTATGACAGATTGGCGGAAAGATTGTCAATATAAGAAGGCATGGTTTATGCCATAAAAATTATGTCCAAAGATGAGATGTTATCTCTAATGGACAAACTTCATACTTTAGAATCCTCAATGAAGGCTTTGGAACATAATTCTGGACAGGAGATACAGACATTGCAGAAGGCAATGGTGAATAGAATTGAAAAGATTGAGGAATTTCTAAATTCTGATGAAGAAGAGCAAAAGGTAGAAAGGCAAATTTTAACTACATCTGTAGGTAAATCTCTCCGGGACAATTCCCACAAAGCTCTATCTACAGCTATACCTGCCTTTCCAGTAATAACAACAGAGAAAGTGGTTGGTTCCAGAAACCCTAGGGTCATCAAGGAAGATACATGGGAGCCTGTCGTATGAATGATCTCAAAGAAATCAAACAGGCTGTGATGACTTTTAGGATGCATGCTTCCTTTGTTAAAGAGATACCCAAACATATGTATGAACAACTAAAATAAAAATTAAATGCAGTCTTCTTTTAACAGCTTCCATAACACAAAATATTAATAAAACTATTGAAAATGTAGAATATATATATGCATATATATATATATATATATGCAAAAGGTATGTCCAATCTAGTCCATTTTCTTTCCTAGGGATCTGTAAGCAGATGTCTGGTTCCAGACTCTCCCATAGAGACAGCCAAATACTTTATTGAGAATATATCCCTGGCCAATTTTTCCTTTTCTTTCTCCTCCATGAGAAATTGAATCTAAAAGCATGCTTTAAATAACACCATGAAAGCCAATGTCCATTAAAGATCAAAGGGCATTTTTCAGGTGACCAAACTTGAAATAATAACCAAGAAAAAATGGTCCAAGAAAGTATCTGCTAAAATGAGATTTGGGGCATGAAAAGCTTGGTGCCCAATGGGATATTGAGAAATCCATCACTGTGTTAAAGGGAAAATATTGTCAAGCTAGAAAATATAATTGTTGTAAAAAGGCAAACAAATTTTCTCTGGATTGGTGAACCAGTGGAGTCAAGAATGTATCAGAAAGATGTATTGGGTGTTTGGAAGCCATGGGTAAAATTCAAATGGGACAGGGAACTGGGGGAACCATTAGCAACCTTGTTGCTTGATCCCTTGAAAAATTAATGGGAGGACCACAAGTAAATAAAAAGAAATGAGATAAAATTTCCCTAAAATGAGGGGTGCCAGCATGGTGAATGAAAAAGTTCATATCTCATTTAATGAAAGATTGAAGAAAAATAAGGATCACTCATGGGGTTTAATAATATGAAAGGCAGAACACCAATGAATGTTAAAAATTGAACCTGGATGAAGTACAGAATCACAATGCTAGGAAAACACTAAATGGAAACATCTTTTGTTGACCCACCCTGGTCAGTGAGGCTAAGTTTCTGTGAATTGAAGAAGATGCCAAAGGTCTGGACTCCAAGCTTTTGAGTTCAAGAGTAGGGCAAACAAACAAAGCACTTCTAATTTTTATTATCAAGGCAATCAAAATGTAAGGTGATGTTTGCATCTAGTTTAAGTAAATAAAAGTATAAGAGGGAATATACCTGGTGCTGTGTCTCATCATTTTTGGTGATGTGAAACGAGCTGAGAATATTTATTCCTCATCGGTCTTTGCTTTCTCCACAGAGACAATGTGGACATGAAAGGGCATCCCCCTCATACCCTTGCTTTCAAGTGCACCCACTTAATCAGTTTATGCAGTTCTTTCTAGAAGGCGACTGCATGTGGAAAACATTCCTGCCACATCTGTAGTTCACAGAACATGCACAGCTTTCTTATACAGGCTCCCACATCTTCCACCTTTTCTTATTGACTTCCAATATCTTGACTTTCTTTGAGTCCCCAAAGATTCCAGAAAAGAATTATTCCTTTACACTTGTAGATAACACTCCCTTTGTTTGAGGACAGTGTCCAGACTTAACACTATCAGTCAACATGCATGTTCCATCTCCAAATCTTCACCAATCCAACTTCATGACCACAAGTTACATAACCAAATCATTTGGCTATGATGGAATTCTCAGTCACTTAACAGAAGGAAAAGATTATAGGCATGCCTAATGTGCCACAATGAATAGAGAAAATCTACATGGAAGATCAAGGTAGAGAAACACAGATGGCTAAGGAAGAGTTTGTTAGTTTAGGTGCACTCTCTTAGATTTTCCTACCTTAGTAAGACACCTGAGAAATGGTGCAAGCACACCAATAGAATTCTGTGTGTCTCGGGGCAACAAAATGTCTGACAAAAACAATTTTAGAAGAAAAAGATTTATTTTGGTTTACATTCTGAGAATACAGTGATGGGGAAGTTGGGGTAACAGAAACTTGAAGTACTGGTTACACTTCATCCACTGATCAGAGATAGAGAACAGTAGATGTTCATGCTCAGATTGCTTCTTCCAGTTTATCCTATCAGAGACCCCAGCCCATAGAGTGATACCACCACAGTATCTCAATTAACCTCCTCTAGAATATCCTATGCAGGTATGGCTGGAGGCTGATCTAATCTAAATAATCCCTCACAGGTGTGCCCAGTGCCTTGCTTCTCTGGTGATTATAGATTCTGTTTAGCAAGAAATATTAACCATCACAATCCTATATCTCACCAATTTGACATCAAAACATTTCAATCTTAAACCATAGACTGACTACTCCTTTTGTCCCTGGAGGGTCATGGTCATCTCAGAATGCAAAACATGCTCAGTTCAGTTTCAAAGTCCCCACAGTCTTGAACAGTTCCCACACTATTGAATAATCCAAAGTACAAATCTTCTCTTCAATTCAAGGCAATCTCTTAACTCTATGTGAATTAATATAAAATAAAAGGTTACATACTTTCAATATACAAATGGCCTAGGACAAACACTTCCCTTCCTAAAGGAAAGAATAGTACTTTAGCAGGGAATTATCAAACCAAAGCAAGACCTAAACCCAGCAGGAAAATACCAAATCCTGCATTTCCTTGCCCAACATCTGGAGAGCACGGTGAGTTGCTGGTAGCAATGTCAGAGGAGCAGTAGAAGGCAATTGACTTCAGGGGACTGGCCCACCAGGAAACAAAACCCTGATGGTTAAATCCTGGGTAAGCAAGCTCCCCAAGATCCTTGGCCCTCGCATGTTTCTTACCACTGCTGGGTCTTTGCATGTTTGCTGCTGCCGTTTTTCTCTGGTAACTGACATGGTGTGAATGGGCA